TCTCTCTCTGTCCCAAAAATAAAATAAACGTTGGGGAAAAAAAATTTAAAAAAAAAAAGAATACTTGAGCTACAAAGCAAAATACATTTCAAAGGACACTTTGGTGTAATGGGATCCCTTTGGAGGAATACTGCAAGCCAGGCCCTGGTATAGTATGCTAGATAAAAATATGCTCTATTTGGGTGACTTGCCAGGTGAATGTTTTCTAATTGCTTTGTTTTTTTTTTTTTTTCAAGTTTTTATTTAAATTCTAGCTAGTTAACATATATGATAAAATTGGTTTCCGGTGTAGAATTTAGTGATTCATCACTTACATATAACACCCAGTGCTCATCACAATAAGTGCCCTCCTTAATACCCATCATCTATTTGGCCCACCTCCACCCACATTCCTCCATCAACCCTCAGTTTGTTCTCTATAGTTAAGAGTCTCTTATGGTTTGCTTCTCCCTCTCTCTCTTTTCTCCCTTCTCATACGTTCATCTGTTTTGTTTCTTAAATGCCACATATGAGTGAAGTAATATGGTATTTGTCTTTCTTTCCCTGACTTATTTTGCTTAGCATAATACACTCTAGCTCCATCCACATCGTTGCAAATGGCACAATTTCATTCTTTTTGATGGCTGAATAATATTCCTGTGTGTGTGTGTGTGTGTGTGTGTGTGTGTGTGTGTGTATACAGCACATATTCTGTTTTTAAATGTTTCCTTATTTTTGAGAGAGGGGTTGAGAGAGAGAGAGAGACAGAGAGAAAGAGATAGCAAGCAGGGAAGGGACAAAGAGGGAGGGAGACATAGGATCCGAAGCAGGCTCTGCACTGACAGCAGAGAGCCCTATGTGGGGCTGGAACTCACTAACTGTGAGACCATGACCTGAGCCAAAGTTGGACGCTTAACTGACTGAGCCACTCAGGTGTCCAAATACCATACATTCTTTATCTATTCATTGGTCGATGGACATTTGGGCTCTTTATATAGTTTGGCTATTGTTGATAATGCTGCTATAAACATTGGGTTGCATGTGCTCCTTCAAATCTGTATTTTTATATCCTTTGGGTAAATACCTAGTAGTGCAATTGCTGGGTCATAGGGTAGTTCTATTTTTAGCTTTTTGAGGAAACTCCATACTGTTTTCCAGAGTGGCTGCACCAGTTTGCATTCCCA